TTGTTTTCGTCATCGTCCTCGACGTCGTTCATGTCGTTGCTGTCCGTTGCTCTCGTTGTTGTTTTGTTGTTGTTGTTTTGGCGCGAGCCTCACCCGAGGATGTCAGACGACACGTCGGCGTACACGGGCTTCAGGACGTTCTTCTTGGCGGCCACGAGCGGGGTGCGGGGGCGGACGGGCGGGTGAGGACTGCGTCGGTAGAGAGGGGTCGTTGGCGAGGGGGCGGTCCTGGGGGCGGCGTCGGCGGGCGCTGCGGCGGCGGCCTCGGGGACGGCGGCGGCCTGGTCGGAGGCCTCGGCCGTCGGGGACGTCGAGGACCCCGGTCCGCCGCCGCCACGAGCCTCCAGGGACCCACTGGCCGTGGGGAGCAGCACGCGCGAAGGGCCGGACCCCATTCTGCCAAAGCAAACCGAAAAGCGGCGGCAAAAAAACGGAAGAACGTCATAAAATAGCGAAGCATCAGGACAGTGACGTTTATTTTGTTCTCTAAGAACGCACGGCGGCCTGTGCGTCTACGGCGGCCTGCCCGGGGCTCTCCAACGCCTCCACCGGGACCTCCTTGGCGGCGAGCGCGGCGCGCCTGGACGGCCACTGCGGCGTCCACCGGGACACATGGTGCACTGTAATCCCTTCCACCAATCAAACGCGCCGGTCGCTCGCACGCACAGCAGGCTGATTCCGAGAGTCGTTTTCGTCGCTCCGTCTCTCTCGCACCTATCGGGGACGCCCCATGAGTGCGAGAGAGACGGAGCGACGAAGACGGCTCTCGGAATCAGTCTGCAGGTCGCGGCCCCTAGAAACACACCTCCAAGGCGCGGCGCGGCACGCAGTCGCTAGCGACGCCACACGACGGCGGCAGCGGCGGCAGCTTGTTGCCTGCGCGGCTTGCCAGGGCCTGCCAGGGCCTGCCCGCCACAGTGCCGATTGTTGGAAGGCGGTGGGCGGCGGGGGAACCGAGGCAGCGGCGCGACTCCGAGGCTTCGGATCGCCGCTTTGTCTCTCTCGCACCCCTGCGGAGCCCCCTGCGAGTGCGAGAGAGACAGAGTGCGGCCGGGACGCGCCCTATCGCGCTGCTCATCTTCCGAAGCGTCTTGTTGTGCGGAGGCCCGGCCCGGCCCGGCCCGGCCGGCGGGGGGCGGGGAGGCGCAAACCAGAACCAGGGTGCAAATAAGAAGAAGAAGTGCGTTCGCAGATAAAGCAGTCACAAGAATGGGGGAGCGACTTCAAACGGAAATGTACGAGCAGAGGGATGTGGTGGACAGATGCTGCCTGGAGATAGGTGGCGCGGCCGCTCGCCGCCTCCCTCTCTCTCTCTCTCTCTCTCTCTCTCTCTCTCTCTCTCTCTCTCTCTCTCTCTCTCTCTCTCTCTCTCTCTCTCTCTCTCTCTCTCTCTCTCTCTCTCTCACGCACACTCCTTGCCTCATCCCGTCAAGGTGCCATTCGGATGTGGAAATAGGCGAGGGGAGCCAAGGCCAGGGGGAGCGAGGAGGACGGACTTCGTTCTTTTCTTTCTTTTCCCTCTCACTTCCTCTTCCCCTTTGTGCTCGGGCTCCCATCCCTGTTTTCCATCCATGGTCCTACTTTAAATAACAATAGGCAACTCTCTGGGGGCTCCATATAGACGCACGCGGTGGGGCTCATAAACCCCTCAGCCGGGCGAGGCTGGGGCCCCGTGGGGGGCAGGGCAGGGCCCACCACGCCCAGTGGAGTGCAGCGAGGGCCTCGACCCCGCCGTGGGGCACGCACACACACACACTCACACAAACGCGCACACAGGCACTCACGCAGACAGACGCGCACGCACAGCCTACAGACACACACACAAAAAAAAAGTGCGAAGCAGGGGCTCACTAATGCATTACGGGAACTCATCACCGACTCAACGAGCCAATCCGATGCAGCTACACCGATAATATCGTCTCCGCTATTGGCTACTTGGCTCATGCTTTAGTCAGGCTGCCCGTAATAGCCCGTCGTACTGCCCCGTGCCTCCTTGATAAGCTTTCTCCCTTGTCTAGCAGTGCACCCGGTCTTTCCCTCTCCCTCTTCTCCTTCTTCTCCTTCTTCTTCTTCTTCTTCTTCTTCTTCTTCTTCTTCTTCTTCTTCTTCTTCTTCTTCTTCTTCTTCTTCTTCTTCTTCTTCTCCTCCTCCTCCCGCTCCCCCTCATTCTTCTTCTTCTTCTTCTCCTCGGTCTCATTTCTACTCTGTTATTGCCCGCATGGAGGCCGTGCAGGGCAGGATGCACTTGGGGGACCCGACGGTGGGGACACCCGCAGCAGGCTGGCCTGGCTAATTGTCAAACAGGCCTGTTTGTCTTGTCTGCCTGCCTGTCCGTCCGTCCGTCCGTCCGTCCGTCTGTCTGTCTGTCTGTATGTCCGTCTGTCTGTCTGTTCAGCTGATGCGAAACGCCGCTGTCCCACAAAATTCGGTAAATGGAGCTAAATGGGCGTCTGGTGGGAAGGTCACTGCGAGGCGAGGCGGCCGCCAAGGAGGCCAAGCTGCAGACTGATTCCGAGAGTCGTTTTCGTCGCTCTGTCCCTCTCGCACTCATGGGGCGTTCCGTATGAGTGCGAGAGGGACAGATAGCGACTACAGTCTACTGGTCTCGGCGGCCACGGCGGCCACCGCCTTGTGTGTGAAGCGTTTCCTAAGTGCGCGTGGCAGAAGGCGGTGGTCTCGATAAATTTGATTTAGGGCCAGACGGGGGCTTTCCCTCCCGCTCGCCACGGCCCGGCCCGGCACGGCTCGCTATTACTCAAGACAACGGGCGTTGAACCCGCGGCCGCTAACTGCCGGGGAAGCGGTGCCGAGTTGCGGGGGTGTTGGAGACGGCCAGGCCGGGTCGGGCGGTCGGGCCATAAGGCGGCGGCAACGCGGCGGCAACGCGGTCCGGCGCAAAACATGCAACCTGCCAGTGTGCGTTCCGGGGCGGGGCGGGCCGATGCGGGGCCACTCTGAATGATGAACAAGCCGCTGAGTGAAAGTTTGATCAGGCGGACGCACGCATACGCGTGTGCTTACCGATTGCGAGCGACAAGCTACAGTTGCCTTGAGGCTAAGGCGATCGCTTGAATGCAACAGCAGCTGGTCCGGGCTTGGAACCCCGCACAGTGGGCCAGAAGACCGGCGCAGGCGGCCGAAACTCTAGACGCGTTTTGAGCTCCAGAGTCGCTAAACAGAACTCGAACCAAACTTGTGACCCCACCATTGGATTCCTCGTTCGGAGAGCAATCCATTGGTGGGGTCACACCGAGGGGTCACACGCTCGGATTTTGACAGACTCCACCGGTCTTCTGGCCCACTGTGCCGCGCACCGCCGAGCCGCTTTCCTGCCTCACAGTGTACGGTACTTCCGACGGCCCCGAGTAGCCGCGTCGTCGCGTCCGCCGGCCGGAACCCTCACCAATGCCCTCCGAGTCGCACGCGAGGCGCAGCGGAAAGCCGAGGGAAAGCCGAGGGAAAGCCTGGGGGAAAGCCTTTCCCGGACAAACTGGCGGGAAATTGGATTTTAAAGGCCTTGTTCCGTTAGGGAGGTGAGTCGCCTGTCTGTCAGCCCCACGGCGGGGCGAGGCGAGGCGGATCGAGCCAATATCGGGCCGTGTCAGACAGGGACAGACGCACTGACCGGCACAACAGCCAGCCAGCCCTAGCCCTGTACGTGTCAGGCTGCCAGCCCCCTCCCCCTCCCACACGCCGCCATCTCTCTCGCACTTATTAAAGCGAACGGCCGGCCGCGCGATATTTCCGAGGCGGCAGTAAATCCGCGACCGGCGGGCGGGCCGTCTCTGTCGCGGCGCGCTGCTCCGCGCGGTGTGCGAGAGAGACGGGCGAGGCCGCGTCGGAGTGTCGGCGGGCGTGTCGAATCGGAAAGGCGGCAAGGCGGCGACGGCGCTCGGAACGGCCCGGAAGCGGGCGGAGCAGAACACGGCAGCGCCATGCCAGCGCCATGCCAGCGCCGACAGGCCGACGGCGCGCATCAAGTTAGCACGCGGGAAAGGGACAACAACAGCAAAAACAAAAACAAAAGAAATCGAGAAAAGCAACAAAACAAAAACAACAAAAACTACAGTTAATCGACTTGAAAATTGTTACTTGCACATCATATTGCTTTCTGATGATTTGAGGTCGGTCGTCGGCGTGGCGTGGCACAGTGGGCCAGAAGACCGGCGGAGGTGGCCAAAACTCTACACGCTCCAGAGTCGGTAAATGAGACTCGAACTGAACGTGTGACCCCACCAATGGATTCCTCGTTCGTAGAGCAACCCATTGGTGGGGTCACCCGTTCAGTTCGAGTCCCACTTAGCGACTCTGGAGCTCAAAACGCGTTGGGGATTTTAACCGGCTCCACTGGTCTTCTGGCCCACTGTGCGTGGCGTGCCAAGCGCATCCTGTCGCTCCCAGCCAGTGTCCTCCTCGTCCTGCGCCCACACTGCGAGGGAACGCCCCCACGTGACCAAACAGCGCGGCAGCGGAAAGGCGTGGGGGTGGCGACCAGAAAAACAAATATACGCAACCATTTAGCTGTGGTTTTTTCGTTGTTTTATTTTTTGCGCGCAGTGTAACAGAGATATTGGAGCAGAGATTACGACATAAATAATTCCGATTAGCAATCGGGCCTGTGTGATTTACACTGGTAGCCGCCCTGTCAATCCACGATTTATACCGTCTGTGTGACTTCTGCAACCAAATTGGGATCACTCTTTTTTTTTCTGTCTCGGACGAAAAAAAAACGAGGAAAAGAGAGAGGAGGAGATAAAAGAAATAAAATGACACGACACTGCAATAGGAATAGGGCGGCACGGCCTTCCGTTTACGTTCAATCAGACGGGACCGCGGACCCCGCGGCCGGACCGGGGCTGATTGCTATCACGCCGTGATTTATCGCGTGTGTGTGTGTGTGTGTGTGTGTGTGTGTGTGTGAGCGCGTGGTTTTATTTGTGTGTGCGTCCACGCTGGTTGTGACGGTTTTCAAGAACCCCTTCCCCGTTTTGGTGTTGCAGCCGCGCCGTGCTGAGGAACCCCGACGTGCTGGGCACCTCGCCGTGGTCCGCCCTCTTCCTGAACGACTTCTGGGGCACGCCCATGAGCCACTCGGGGTCGCACGGCTCCTACCGCCCCGTGACCGTGCTGTCGCTGCGCCTCGACGCGCTGCTGGCCAGCCACGTCCTGGGCCGCGGCGTCAGCCCCGTCGGCTTCCACCTCGGTGAGTGTCTGGACGGGGAGCACAGTGGTGGGCTAGAAGACCGTCGGGGGCAGCCCAAATTCTAGACTCGTTTTGAGCTAAATGGGCCTCGACTCGAACGTGTGACCCCACCAATGGATTGCTCTCCGAACGAGGAATCCGTGGGGTCACACGTTTGATTCGAGTCCTGTTCAGTCCTGTTCAGCGACTCTGGAGCTCAAAATGGGTCCAGAGTTTTGGCCTCCTCCACAGCTACCTCCTCGACGCCTGTGAGAACGAAGATAGGCAACCGCGCCGCCGCCGCTGTTCGGCGGGCCGGCCTACTTCCATTACTATTACCATTAAGGGCTAGACCACACATGATCGTATGGACGCCCTCCTCGACGCCACGCTTTTTTACAGTGAACATGGCTCTGCACGCGGTCGCCTCGCTGCTGGTGCTGCAGCTGGCCCGGCGGCTGCTGGGCCGCTGGGCCGCCTCGGTGGCCGCCGTGCTGTTCGCCGCGCACCCGGTGCACTGCGAGGCGGTGGCCGGGCTGGTGGGCCGCGCCGACCTGCTGTGCGCCGTCTTCTTCCTGCGCGCCGTCTACGACTACGTGCGCTACGTGGACTGGCGCGAGATGCACCGGTGCACGCACAACAACGTCCCGACAAAGCTTTTAGGTAAGCCCTTTTTGAGGATCATCCTTGAGTATTTTTGTAACCCTTTTTTGTAACGACTTTTTCGTAAATTTGTTAAAGCCTCTTTTTGCACCTATTTTTTCGAAATAATTTCTGTAACGTACTAAGACTTTTTTTTCACCCTTTTCTAAGACTTTTTTTGCAACCTTTTCGAAGACTTTTTTGCAAACGTTTTCAAAGACCTTTTTTTTGTAACATTTTTAAAAGACTAATTTTGTCACTTATTTTGTAACTTCTTTTTTTGTAACCTTTTGTAACTTTTTTCACGTAACCTTTAAAATCTCTTTTCGCCTTTTTGTTCCCTTTCTAGAATCCCCGGCGTACGTGCCCTCGACGGACCTGGTGAACAAGATGCTGGACCACGTGCTGCTGGAGTCCAAGGGCGGGCCCCAGGGCAGGCCCGCGGGCAGGCGGTGCGCGGGCGACGCGTGCGCGGCGTGCGGCGTGCGCACCGTCGTGCTCCTGGGCTCCGCCATCGGCCTCACCGTCTTGGCCACCCTCAGCAAGGAGCTGGGCATCACGGCGCTTGGCGTCTGCTTCGTCTACGAGATGCTCGTGCAGCACCGCCGGCGGCAGAAAAAATTGGTGAGGACAAAAGAACATGGCGGGATTTGAACCTCGGTATTGCCGGGAAGAAAGTCGGTGCCATAGCGCGCACGGCTACTCCGTGTTGTGTATTACCCCGCGATCGTGGTGCTACTACTGTCGGTATCGGTAGTGCAATTTGCTTGGTGGAAAAATGAGAAGAAACCTGGGCGGCGGTGGTAGTTGAACCCTCGACCTTGGCGTTGCAGGCGGTGGAGCCGAGCGGGCTGGCGCTGCTGGCCGGCGTGGCGGGGTCGCTGCTGCTGGCGCGGCTGTGGCTCATGGGCCTGCGCGTGCCGCACTTCGCCGTGGCCGACAACCCCGCGGCCAAGGACCCCAGCCTGCTGACGCGCACGCTCACCTTCCTGCACCTGCCCGTCGTCAACCTGGGGCTGCTGGTGTGGCCGCAGCGCCTGAGCTTCGACTGGTCCATGGAGGCGGTGCCGCGCGTGGCGTCCGTCGCGGACCCCCGCAACGCGCTGTCCGCCGCGCTGTACCTGTGCCTGTGGCGCCTGTGCCGCCACACCTACCGACGCCTGCTGCGCGCCGCCAGGGCCGCCGAGGACGCCGTCGAGGACGCCGATGACGTCGGCCTCTCGCCGCGGCGCACCGAGAGCGTGGCCGTCGGACTGGCGCTGCTCGTGCTGCCCGCGCTGCCCGCCACCAACCTCTTCTTCTACGTGGGCTTCGTGGTGGCGGAGCGCGTGCTCTACGTGCCCAGCGTCGGCTTCTGCTTCCTGGTGGCGCTCGGCGCGCAGCGGCTGTGCAGCAGACGTGCCGTCCTCGTGCAGGCCGCGCTCGCCCTCACCGTCCTGGCGCTGGCCGCCCGGACCGTGACCCGCAACGCGGACTGGCGCGACGAGGAGGCGCTGTACCGCTCGGGCATCCACGTCAACCCGCCCAAAGGTAAGGCCTCTTTATGTTCAATCGGAACGGGGTTCCCCCCCCCCCCCCCCCCCCCAGCAGGTGCTGACCACAGCGGCCGTCTCTCTCCGGTCCGGTGTAGGGCTGCGGCTCCACTGTTTGCCCGGCAAAGCCTTATTTACGCCCTCGGGTCGCCGCGCTCTCTCGCACCCCTGGCCTGCGCCACCCGCCACCCCCGCAGAACGTGCCCGCATTTTGTTTGTGTTTTTGGGTGTGCAAAGTCAGTGGACCAGACAGCGGCGTGCGGATAGGACCCAGTCACCCAGCACCAAGTCGGCCCAACAGGTCCACCCCCCCCCCCCCCCCCCTTCCACCCTCACGGACCCTTTTCTCCTTCTGCCCGCAGGAATCCCCCCCCCTCCCCCTACCTGATGCGGCCCCCTCCTCCTCCCCGCAGGGTGTTTGCACTCTGCGATTGAGGCGATACGTGTGTAGAGTGTTGACAGTATACCGCACTCACTGCGCACCCTTGGCTTGGCCTTGGCTGTGCCTCGGCGATGACTTGACTCCCCCCCTCTCAAAATAATATCGCCAAAAAGGGAACATTTTCGAAGCAAAATAAACAGGTTGCGTCTATTGTTCTGGTCGGGACACACTGTGGGCCAGGAGAGCGGCGCAGACAGCCAAAGCTCTAGACGCATTTTGTGTTCTATTGTCGCTTGACATGACTCGAACCGAGCCTGTGACCCCACCAATGGATTCCTCGTTCGGAGAGCAATCCATTGGTGGGGTCACATTTAGCGACTCTCAAGCTCAAAACGCGTCCTATATTTTGACCGCCCCCACTGGCCTTCTGGCCCACTGTTCGACAGTGTTCCAAAGTTCCTTGCCTGTTCCTGGAGTGGGTGCGCCTTTTCTCGCAGTGTAGGCGCACCCAGCTCCGCGCGGAAAACTCCCGGGCACGTCTTTCCAATCCCCCGCCTGCTTGTTTGCGAATTTGGCCGCGCGCGCCGGATTTCTGACCAGCAGACGGCGGACTGGCGGCCGTTTCCGGCCGGCGGCTTCGCGAACACACACCTAACCCCCCCGGGCTTCCCTCGGCTCGGCCGGCGCCAATCTGGCTCGCCCGAGCGCGCGGAGCGGCGCGGCTCGCCACGGCCCGGCCCTCTTCATTTTTCCCGCCAATATTTACCTTGGCTTTATTGGGGAGCGGACCCTCCAGGCTGCCCCGCCCCGCCCCGCCCGCCGCCCCGCCCCGCCCCGCCCCGCCCTGCCCCGCCACATCCGGTCCGCGGCGTCCGCCCCTCAACGGCTCACTTGGGGTGACTCCAAGAGCAAACATTTGGCCAGCGCGCCAGCGCCCGGGAGCGGCTGGAGCGGCGCGACGGTGGCGCACAGTGGGCCAGAAGACCGGTGGAGGCGGTCAAAACTCTAAACACGTTTTAAGCTCCAGATTCGCTAAATGGGACTCGAACGGTTCTCCTCGTTCGGAGAGCAATCCATCGGTGGGGTCACCCGTTCAGTTCTATTCCCATCAAGCGACTCTGGAGCTTAAAACGCGTTTAGAGTTTTGACCGCCTCCACCGGTCTTCTGGCCCACTGTGTGGCGCGGCCCGGGCGGCGAATTTGAAAACTAAGAAGCAAGCCGGCCTGATGGTGGTGAAGCTAAATTATGCACGCCCTTGTTCCAGCTTACGGCAACCTCGGCTCCGTGCTGAGCGCCTCCAACAGGCTGGCCGAGGCCGAGCACGCCTACCGCATGGCGCTCCGCCACCGCCCCAACATGGCCGAGGTGCACTACAACCTGTAAGCCTTTTCTCCTTGTTGTTTCTCACAAATGTGTTTTTGTTTCCCAACGCGCCCAACTGCATTACACGCGATTTGTTTTTGTTGTTTTTCAGAGGGAATCTCTTAGCTGTGATGAAGAAGTACGACGAGTCGGCCAGAAGCTACGAACAGGCGATCCACTATCGACCAACTCTAGCATGTAAGTCAAAGTCATCCGCCAACAACAAAAAGTGTTTGAAAATAGTTACGAAAACGCGCCATTTTTTTGCAGTGGCGTACGTGAACCTGGGCCACATCCTGGCTCGGCAGGGGCGCGTCCAGGACGCCACCGAGGTGTTCCGGAAGTGCGTGCTCATCCCTTCGACCGGCCTTCGGGACCCCGCGGCCCACGAGTCGGCGCGCGTGTCCGCCCTCGTGCACCTCGCGCACATCCAGGTCGGGCAGGGTCGCCTGGCGCAGGCCAAGCAGGACCTGGACATGGCGCTGCAGATCCGGCCCGCGCACTACGAGACCGGGGTAAGGGTTCAACTCCCGGCGGCGCCACCATTTTTTTTTAATTTTTTGAAAACATTATTTTATGATGATGATGGATGATGGATGATGATGGATGATGATGATTATTATTTTTTTTTTGCAGCCAATCCTGAAGCTCATGGCCGAGGTGACCAGCGGGCTCAAGGCCAACGAGACGACGGCCGGCAAGGTCGTCAAGAAGGTCGTCCTGAAGAAGAGGGAGGCCGCCCTGACGTCAACCCCGGGCACTCTGCTCAACGTAAGGCAACATTCACTCTAAAAAACTCCTGTTTTATATTGAATAAAAAAAAACGGAAATTTCAATATACCCTGTTTTCCATATTTCAGGAAAGTCGATGTGTGACGTCGGAGAGTCGGAGTAGAGTGCTGAGCCATTCGTGATGGACTCGTATGACTGATGAAGAAGAATGGGTTGTCTTTGTTTGTTTGTTTGTTTGTTTTTGTTCTTGTTGATCTCTCTCGGGGAAGAGCTGGATATTCGTTTTCATGTCCTTGCGGATAAAATATTTATTTGCTCTGTTTACGAATTTAAATTGTTGTTATGTTGTCGAGCTGCATATCAGGGGCCATGATAACTTAGATTGCATGGGATCGAAAATTTGAAAGAGGGATGCGTCATCTCTTAAAAGAACTGTTAGACTTATTGTTAACTATGTAGTTAAGTACTTTGAATTATGTGATTTATTTACAAAAGTGATCTTGAGCACCAGGTGCTTATGTCAGAGGCGAGTGTCTGAAAAGGTGGAACTTGTCCGGTATTTTCGCGTCTACCGTATGTGATCGCGTCTACCGGTACAGCGCAAGTTCAGCTGGTGAAAAAACTCTTTGTGTATCGAACATTGAAAAGAGCTGGAAATATATTTGTCTAAAAAACACGTAAGCTGTCTTTTCCCCCTGAATCACGCCCTTCGCCCTCGAATCCAGTTAGGGGGTCCCTGTTGTCTCCATGGCAACCAGCGGTCGCCTCGGAGGTGGCCGGGGTGACGCCGCCACCCTTACAGATGCTATTTGGATCACTGCCACACACAGCGCACGGGCCCACAGGTCCCCCAGGTGCATGCCCCGCCGGCCTCAGAGCCGCGTATCTCGGACCGCTGCCGGAGTACTTACACTGTGCCCCCGAGCACATCGACGTACCACGTGACTGCAGTTTTCCCGGTCGGACGCAGTCGGACGAACGGGGAGGGGAGGCCATAACGTCGCTGATATTGTTTCCCGACCCCCGGCTCCATAAACTGCCCGGCCACCGTTATTGAAAAATTGAATTTAAAAAAAAATACAAAAAAGAAGGGGAAACAACACCGAGACATAAAATGATCGTATCCCGTAGCCGTTGCTGCCCCGCCGTTTAGGCTGTGCCGTGCTAACTTGCCTGGTCGGGGAAGTTTCACGATTTCCATCGGACCGGCTCGGCTCAGCGTTGCTGGAAAGTCCAACATCTCTCTCTCTCTCTCTCTCTCTCTCTCTCTCTCTCTCTCTCTCTCTCTCTCTCTCTCTCTCTCTCTCTCTCGCTGCGCTGGGCACGGACAGGCGAACAACGTACACGGCCGGAGCGTGTCGTATGCTAATGTAATCAATCGGACAGGGAGTTCGGGGAGGCGGACGAGCGGACGGGCGGACGGACAGGCAGACAGACAGGATAGAAGGGGAATAATGACACGTGACAACGGGCGGGGAATGCCGCGGGAGCCGCTGTTTGGAACGGACGTAAAAGGGAAACTCGAAAATTTAAACCAATTCAGGCGAGGAAAGTATGGTTAATAATTCTAACAAAAAAAAACATTCTGGCCTTAAGGCTGGCTGGCTTAAGGCCCTAACCCTACCTAACCTAACCTAACCTCGCTCTCGTCGGACTTCGGCAGCGAAAGCCGGACTTTGTCCAGCTGCGGGTAGCATTGGCTACCGGAGGGTAATGAAAAAATAATTGTCGGCCGAGGACAGCTGGGGCGTGAACCGCTGCTTTGAGGCGCCGAGGAAGGCGGCACGAAAACAACATCAACGCGGTCAAATTGATTCGTGAGAAAACCATGACCGTGCCTGGGATAGAGTTGTTAAGGCGATACTACAGTAATTGCAGAATCAATGGGAAACCCATTACGGGCCGAGCGCCTCAACCAGGTCAGCCCGCTACACGCGCTGCCAACGACTGACACACGAAGAAAAAAAAAACAGAACTCTGTCATATCTTGTAAAACAGTGAGGAAATTGAATTTAAAAATTAAGTTGTTGTTGCATAATATCATTCGAAGCGCTCACCGTAAGGAGAGATAGACACCTAAAGTTGGATTTCTTTTGGTCGACTTGGCACTTCCTCCGGTGCGACAGTCCACCGGCCCGGAAAAGAACGAGGAACCGGCACTGCCAGGGGACTTTCCAGACAGGACTCCCCCCCCCCATCCCCCTCCTCCTGCCCGGTTCGCTTAATTGAATTTTTGCGATATGATCTTGCTCGCTGCTGTTTCGTCAATTAGTCCCGACTAGTGTTTGCCTTTTCCCGCCCTTTGTTTCCCCTTTGACAAGCAGCCACGCCTCTCCCCCTCCTCCCCCACCTTCTTCTCCTCCTCTTCCTTCTTCTTCTTCTTCTTCTTCTTCTTCTTCTTCTTCTTCTTCTTCTTCTTCTTCTTCTTCTTCTTCTTCTTCTTCCTTCTCTTGAGGGGACAGACTCGAGAGGACGGCCTCGGTGTCGGTCCGTCGCCCCGTCGGCAAGCACGCGACCCTCGGCGGAGCCCACTTCCCGCGAGACGTGTGCCCCGCGCCGAGCCTGTTGCGCGTCCCCCCCCCCCTCCCTTCCGCCTTCGCCCCGTGCTAGACTCCGCGCACGCGGGGCCCCTGGAAGGTAGGCAGCCACCACACTTGGCGGAGTAGAATAGACCGGGCGTAAACCTCCTAGCCTTACAATCACCGCGCGCCAAACAAAAAAAAGGGGGGTGCGGAGGAGATGCCGGGATTCGAACGCCGGTTCTCAGGTTGCCGCCTCCACACCGCACTCTTCGGGATGTGTTCTCGCCGCGTTCCCGTTCCCGTTATTTCTCGTGATTAAAGCCGGCGGTCGATCAAGGGTGTCTTATCAGTGTCCGTCCCTCAACGGGATTCCCTCATCTCCCCCCCCCCTTTCCCCCTCCCCTCTCGCGTGGTCGGGCGCCCTGTTTATTCTGCTCGTAATGGCCGTAGATTGCCTCGTTTTGTTTTCGGGGAAATATTAGGCTTTGTTCATCGCGGAGCCTCGGAGCCTTCCTCCTCCAGTGGCGGGGCGGGGCGGGGCGGGGCGCAGCATTATGAATTTGTTCCTCGCCTTCCAGCGTCTCGTCTCGGGATGATGGATGGATCGAATGTTTACAATCCCTGCTGCCAGAGCGGGAGACGAGGGGGGAAGGGGAAGGCGGGGATGAGACAGGAGCAAGTGGAGAAAGTCGTAAGCGAGGAGTTAAGTGGAGGTAAATGCAGGGAAGTGGGGACAATTGGGGTTTTGTGAGGGGTTTGTGTTAGCTAGCTGGGGTTAAGTAGTGTTAGGGATTTGTGATAGCTGGGAGTTGGGAATAAATAGGAGTTGCGGTCAAGTGGGGGACGGAATTAAGTGGGAGTTGGGGTTAAGTGGAAGTTGGGGTTGAGTGGGAGTTGAGGTGAAAGTTAGGGTTACTAAGTCAGGGGTAAGTGCAGTCAGAGCTAAGTCGAGGTGTGTGGAGTCAGAGCGGTCCGAGAGGTCAGAGGGAAAGTGGACGAGAAGGAAAGAAGCGAGAGAAAGTGGCAAGCGTGCGAAAAGGGGGCCAAGGGGCCAGGACACGATGTCGAGAATGTTTCGGCTGCTATCGACCCGGCCCGAACATCTCTCGAACGGGCCGGGAGATCCCCTTGCCGGCCTTGCCCCCTCCGCGTCGTGTGTGCACACTGTGTGCGGCTCGCCGAGGATTTTATCTGCGCGCGGGATCTGCAGCATCATTTGTTTCCATTCTGTGTGTCTGCCGCGCTCCGGCACCACGGCCTGGGGGTGCCTGGGGCTGCCTGGGGCTGCCTGGTCCTGCCCGGGGCCGGCCCGCACTCAACCGCACACAGCCTGCTGCTCCGCCAGCCATCCACCACCCCACCCTTTGTTTTATGGTGGTGTTCCCAGCCACCCCCCCACTTCCCCCCTCACCCCAGCGCCATCATTTTTGTAACAGAAGCATGTCATGGACCTCCCCCCGTTCTCTCTCTCTCTCTCTCTCTCTCTCTCTCTCTCTCTCTCTCTCTCTCTCTCTCTCTCTCTCTCTCTCTCCCTCCCCTTGGCGAGCGCCTGCGTGCGTAGGCTGTCCCGCTGCAAGGCCGTGCCGCTTGGGTTGCCTACCCCGGACTTGACAGGGGCGCTGGCGCGTTGGCGGCTCTGCGCTGCGGACTGATTCCGAGAGTCGTCCTCGCCGCTCTGTCTCTCTCGCTCTCCACGCCCATGAGTGCAAGAGAGACCGAGAGGCGAAAAAGACTCCCCCCGCCCCTCATATTTATTGCAGTTGAAGAGGTATGGCGGTATTGCGAGTTGTAGTGCTATTGAAGACAAGTACTGCCAACTTGGCCAGGACCAAAATTGTCCAAGTTTGGGGGCGCGGTGGTGCGGTGGCGGGGGAGCAGTGATTACCAACTTCTTTCATCTGTCTCCTTAAAATGGAGTGCCGACTGCAGACTGATTCCGAGAGTCGTTTTCGTCACTCCGTCTCTCTCTCTCTCTCCGCGCGCGCGCCTGAGCGGGACGCCTCGTGAGTGCGAGAGAGACAGCGTGAGTCTCGGAAGCAGTGTGCTGGCGCGGCATCTGCGAGTGCTCTTCGCGAGGCATTCGTTTCACTCAAGACGTCCCTCAAGCCACAGCCTCCCAGTCTCTTTTCGTCGCGGTCTTTCGCGCTGCGTGGCTAATCGGCTTCCTTTCGGATGGACTGGCCTTCTTGAAGTTATACGGCCTCCAAACTCGCGCGTAAAACGTTTGCGACGCTACAGCACAAAATCAGGCGATGCTGCCAACATATAGAAAAAGCAAAATTTATTGAAAATTTTTTGAAGTTCTTTTAAAAGATTTTTTAAATTTATTGTGCGGTGGTTCTGCAGATAGAACGAGGCGAAGTCACTGCTCGACAAAGGGTCGGCTGACCGCAATGCCGAGATGGAGAGAGAGAGGGGGGGGGGAGAGACTGATATGATTGAGGTAGCGGAAAGGTGAGGACTTAAGCGATCCACCACAGCAATGGACTTCCCCGCCCTTCCGCCATAAAACCTCATTCCGTTTCGGTTTTCCCCCGGCGCCACGCTACGCCACGCCACGCGAAGGGCCGTGGGGGTCGTTATAACAATGGTCCAGTGTTGCCATTTTGTCTGCCATTTTGTCGACCACACCGACGTGGTGCCATGAAGCCATAAAGGTGCAGGGTCACGCACGCGCGCACGCGCGGACCCGGGTTCAATACTCGCCGGGGCCAGATAAGAATTTCGTCATATTTATTTTCGATGCGAATGGCGGGCCGGTTAGAAATGGATGTTGGTAATAGCAACCGGTAAGCGCGTCGAGGGTTTTCGTTCCGGCGGACTGAAGCGGCAACGGCGGCGGATCGTCGGAAGGGAACTGCTTCCTCCACGACGAGGGCCTCGACGAGGGCGACCTTAACGACTTGCAGATGATCACGCTGCGGTTTTCAATGCGCGGCCCCCACATCCTCGTCCTCGTCGTCCTCGCCGTCCTCGCCGTCCTCGCCGTCCTCGCCGTCCTCGCCGCCCTCGCCGTCCTGCCGTCCTCGCCGTCCTCGCCGTCCTCGCCGTCCTCGCCGTCCTCGCCGTCCTCGCCGTCCCCGTCGTCAGCGTCCTCCCCCAACGGCCCGCCCAGTGGCCCACTCGAGTTAACGGCCGCTTAAATCCCAATTCG